GCTGACAGCAGCCACTCGAGCGGACAGCCTGCACAAATGAGAAATGAAGAGAAAGGAGAGCTGGGGAAAGGGCTTAAGTGGTGCAAATCACACCAAAGCAGAAGCCAGGGTTCCCAGCAAAAGACATACGCTAACCAGGGACAGTACAGGCACGAGGGGCATTTGGAATATCCAAAGCCCTGAAGGCAGCAGAGGATGCACAGCAACCAAACTTCAACTGATTTCTCTCCCAGGAACAGGCAGCTTCAGAGCCAGAGAGACGGGGGCAGAGACACGCTGAGGAACAATGAAATGCATGCAACCCACCACTGCACACTCGTACTTCCCAAGGTGGAAAATGCTTCATCCTGGGTCTCTCCAGCCATGCTCAGACCCTGTTTACTGGCCACGATGATCAGAATTGGCCACCGATTCCTTCCCTCCGTAATTCAGCTCTCTCCAGTAACCAGAACACATCTCTTAAGCCAAAACACTCTAAGAGGATAAAAGCAGAGACAGAAGTTTTTAAAACAAAGCAGTCAACACATACTTACGTGTCTTGCCGCTCTCTGCTGCCTTAATTCTTACTGCTCTCAATGCTTCAAAGGACTCCTGGGGCTCAGCCTGGCCCAGGTGAACAGCTGCCAGACACCAGAGCTGCCCCTCTCTTTAGGATTACCTGTTTAGCATCCTTTGGAGATGCCACTGTCAACCCAAGACAGCATCAGCAAAAGAAAACTGCAGATGGCTTCTGCTTTGATGAAAGCTCAGGATTATGGACCAGGATACATCAAGATGGAAGGAAAGATGCTGTAGTGAAGTGCTAGCAGTTGTTCTAGGACTTTTGACATATTGGCATTAAAAGTTTAAAAAAAAAAAAAAAAGATTTAAAAAAAAGCCCAGCACAAGGTTTTGTGCTGGTCTTTGCACAGTCTCCAGTTTGGTAGCCCAAAAAAATCCTACAGATGCCCTTTGCTTGCTGAGATTCAGTAAAGCTCCTAGATGCTTGCATGCAGTTAGCACAGGTGCATAAGAAAGCCCCTATATCAAGTATGATTAAAAATGCAACTAATTTCTAACTTCTCAGAGTACTGGATAAACTATAAGGTGCTACTCTCAGCCCACCTTTGCTTTAAATGAATGGGCAAAAGCATGGATGTAGGCTGAAGACCCAGCTGCAGAAACACTCTTTGCAGTTAATCAGGTTTGCCAGGGTCTGCCAGGACAAGGGACAAGGGCAAAGCCCAGAGGAAGACATGAACCAAGGAAACCATGAAGATTCTGGCTTCTCTTCTGGCATTCGAGGAAGAAAGCTCAGTTTTTCCCCAAAACCTATTTCCATAGAAGAAACTGTAACAAAATGCTGGAAAAGTGACAGTCATAGGAGAGGCAGGACTGAGAAATTCAGATTTTTGCCATGTTCGAGAGAACTCTCCCTTCCCACTCACCCCCACCCTGGAGTACATTTCCAGCATGAGGATCAAAGAGGGGTCAAGCAGGAAAAATTTCAAGCAAGTTGGCAATTCACCTGATGAGCATGTACACACGTGTTAACTGAAAGGGACTTTCCGCCCGCATGCCACAGACTGGCACTGATTTAACAGCGTGCACTTACGTGTTTGAGAAAAAGGTAATCCCTGGTGATTCATCTTGCAAAGAAATTTAAGATTTATTAGCTTTTCTTCCAAAATCCTCCCATTCCCATGACCAATCTTCTGACCAGGGTCAAAAAGCAGCACACTGCAGCTCTGAAGCATTTTGGGTATAATTACTGTGTTGCCCAAACTCAAAACAACAGAGAAACTGTGAAGTGTCTCTTACTGACTTAACGGGAGTGAAGAGACTGAAAAAGAAAATTGATCTGCCACCTCAGCCCCAGCAAACACAGGAAAGCAGAGGCGGCAGCAGGAGGTCAGGCGTGAAGGAGAAGGGGTGAGGAGGGCGGACAGGGAGCAGAGAACCTGCCGGCTTGGGCACGAACGGTTCGAGTCTGCCACACAGAGAACAAGTGTCGCTTTCTGGCATCTGCTCTACGAACGGCCACGTGTGCTTTATTACAGCCACTAATGAGGAAAAAGAGCTTCCATCCTCAGGGGGCAAACACAGGGAAGGCATCCGCTAGTTTTATTCCTGGACAGATGTAAAATGTGCAAAATTGTAAACCAGACACAAATCCCTGGGACCTTTTTACCGGCACGGGGATCAGAGCTGCCAGGGCCAGCGCAGCCAGTGCTCCTTCCTGCAAAGCTGTCGTGGCCAAGATGAAAACCTGCCTTGCATGAGTAAACCTGAGAGACACCTTGGAAAGTTCTTCCTGAACAAAGACAATTCCAGTAGGAAAGATCAAAGGCAGGACCAACTAACAGACTGGCTAGAAAATAATCTTCCTGTGTCCTGGACATTGCGCACACGGCGAACA